TAATAAATTCCTGTTGCTTTTGCTCAATGTCATCTTTGCCTCCTTCATACAATTTAACAGTTGGTTAGCCAAATGACCTAAAAACTGTACTATATATTGATTTCTTGTTCTAGCACTTATCCTCAGATGACATGAACACAGGTGTACACACTGTCGATCACATACTCTGATACATATTTTTACAGATGATAAGAGTACACCTTCTGTAAAACCAAAGTGAGACAAGTTTGGGAAGAAAATTATTTCCAACAAACACCTCTCTCTCTACTCTCCTAAGTTTTCTCCACCTCTACTACACAATTCCATACTTAAACAGCTTAACTGGTTTCCTCCAAACTGTACTTTCAACTTCCCCCCTTTATTTGAGATTCTGTCACCCAGACTGGAGTGCAGTACATGATCATGGTTCGTTCACTGCAGCCTTGACCTCCAGGGCTCAATCCACTCTCCTACCTCAGCCTCCAGAGTAACTGGGACTACCAGCACATGCCACCACGCCCCGCTAATTTTTTTGTATTTTTTGTAGAGATAGGGTTTCACCATGTTGCTCAGGCTGGTCTCAAACTCCTAGGCTCAAGTGGTCCACCTACCTCAGCCTCCAAAAGTGCTGGGATTACAGGTGTGAGCCATGATGCTATCCTCAAGCCCCTTTTCTAAGCTCCCCTCTCCCAATTCATTATTCACCTTTCAACTGAAGCTTTAAAAATGCACAGCTGGAAAAAAAAAAAAAAAGTGTATCTGTCCCCCACTTAAAAACTTAGGAAAAAGACCAAAAAATTCCTATTCTGGATTACCAGGCCTTGCAAGATCTGGACCATGATTACTTGCATAGCCTTGTTTCATCTGCGCTTTTCCCCAGGAACTTTCTCTTCCAATACTACCAAGTCTCTCTGGGTTCCCACAATACGCCTTGCCTTCTCTGGCCCTAGTTCCTTCAACACGTTTCCTCTCTGAAGTTCATTTTCCCCCTTAGACTTTTCTTTTCCTAACTTTCACTTACCCTTCTAGTCTGTACTTAAAGCTCACTTCTTCAATGTGGCAGAGGCTGTTGCTTTGTATCAAAATCAATTGTTCACTGAGATTTATTTGGAATGACTATGGCAACAGAACAAAAGAAAAGTGCTTGGCCAGGCCTGGTAGTTCACGCCTGTAATCCCAACACTTTGGGAGGCTGAGGCGGGCGGATCATGAGGTCAGGAGATCAAGACTATCCTGGCTAACACGGTGAAATCCCATCTCTACTAAAAATACAAAAATTAGCCGGGCGTGGTGGCAGGCGCCTGTAGTCCCAGCTACTTGGGAGGATGAGGCAGGAGAATGGCGTGAACCCGGGAGGCGGAGCTTGCAGTGAGCCGAGATCATGCTACTGCACTCCAGCCTGGGCAACAAAGCGAGACCGCTCTTCCGAAAAAAAAAAAAAAAAGTGCTTTGTATTTAGTAAAAAGGTACCATATTTTAGTACCTGCACATGACGGTCTATAGGTCTATAAAGTTTAGAATTAAGAAAACTATACCTTGAGGAGCTTCCAGGATAAAAAAAAGTTAGAATTAACAAAGCAGAGACGAATATGAAATATAAACAATATGCCAGCAAAAGCTGAAGGAAAACGGGACTTAAGTAAGGCAATAGCAGTTTGGAGAATGGAAGATGGAGGAGGCTCTTTCAGAAGAATGAGATGACTTTTGCTATGCTAGTACGCCAAAGGATGTGGAAAAATAAAAAGCTGTGCAGAGTAAGGAGATATATTTAACTGGAGCAGAAGACACTGGCAAAAAAGTACTGGAACTCTTACAGATAAAAGGGACCTTAAAAGATGCTAAAACCCCCTAATTCCAAGATGAGAAAAAGGCGATCCAGGCCAGGCATGGTGGCTCATGCCTGTAATCCCAACACTTTGGGAGGCCGAGGCAGGTGGATCACTTGAGGTCAGGAGTTCGAGACCAGCCAGGCCAATATGGCAAAAACCCATTTCTACTAAAGATACAAATATTAGCCAGGCATGGTGGTGCGTGCCTGTAGTGCCTGTAGTCCTAGCTACTCAGGAGGCAGAAGTATGAGAATCACTTGAACCCACCACGGCACTCCAGCCTGAACCCACCATGGTACTCCAGCCTGGGTGACAAAGTAAGACCCTGTCTCAAATTTAAAAAAAAAAAAAAAAAAGCAGATCCAAAAAGGCCAAACGAGTTTTACCCAGAGCTAATGAGTAGCAATGCTGGCAAAGAATCCAGGTCTTCTCATTCCTTTTCCTTAAGCACTCTGGGAAAGCACTGTACCAGGTACCCTTAAAGAATCTAAAAGAAATGTCAGTTTCCTTACCTTCAAAGAACTTAAAATGTTGCTGAAATGATAAAACACATGAAAAAGAAAGAAAAATATGAAAACAGGATATAAATTTCTGAAGTGCCAAATTACGCACTACAGGAATATATTAGGCATTTAGGAGCTGGGTTCCAACAACTAAAAGGAAGATCAGGAACAAAAACAAAAGGAACCAAAAGACAAACCAGTGATTGTTGAAGTGGTACTCAAAGGAAAATAATCTTGATGACTTGTGTTCAGAATGGTACGAAGGGAGAGGAAGGGAAGAAAACGGGAGGAATAATAGTAACCTTTTTTTTAAAAGAGCTAAAAAATACAGACTGCTGTTATACCTCATGCAGGTGGCAGATCAAGCAGCTCATGTTTGCAAAATTACTTCAAATTACAAGACCAGTTACAATATATAACAAGCTGCACAAGTTCCAAGTGTAAGAACTTCACAAGGCCGGTATGACTCACTGATTTGTACCAACAAATCATTGATGGAGCTCTGCTTATAAAAACAAAAGCAGAGAATGAAAGAAGTCTATTTTCCAAAGAATTGTGAACTTTGAGATTATCTTTTTCTTTTAGAAGGAAGTTCTGGTTTGATTTGAACTCTCAAGTTACCAACGAACTTGCTCTAAAATCCACAAAACTACAGTGTCGAGAGATAGGATAAACTATTTATGAAGGTATCACCAGCAAAAGTTCTACTTGCCAACCAGAGTCAGTATATTTATAAGATCTCATTCACCATTTTATTCTAAGATGCTTTACTGGCTTGGCTGCCTCCAGTTCCAACCGCAAGTACTTTACTAAAATATCCTTCAAGCCAGGAACAGTATCTTAAAGTCAATGACACCCTTCATCATACCAGCATTATAACACAGAACCCTGAGATAATTGCATGTAAAGATCCAAAATCACCAGATGAATAATGAAAATTAAGTCAAATGATTTGTTAGATTTTAAAATGTTTTATAGAAAGCTTTAGGCTTCTATATTTAAAAACCTAGTAATGGTTTGCATTCTCTATAATCTTACAAAAAAAAACAAAAACAAAAAACCAAAAACCCTACAGACCAGAAATCAAAAATAGCTTTACACAAACAAAAGGAAAATTGTAGGTTTGCTGAGGGCATCAGCCACTTAATTTAACCCCATTTCATCAGGAGCAGGAAGCCACACTGCTGTTTTCACCAGTTACTAAGAAACAAGATAAAGGACAGATTGGGACAGAGAGTCTATAGCTGAAAGTATTATTTTGATGCGATTACTGAGAATTCCCAAAGTGTCACTAATAGACAAGAAAGAGCATCTAGGACTGCCTCTAAATGAGTCTACCTACAACAGAATCAGTGGTTAAGTAAAGACAAGACTTACTGGAGCCTGGGGGTGTTTTCCCCCTCTTCCCTACCCCCATCCTCCCATCCTCAACTCCCCTCCCCAAGCAGGAAAGAAAGCTCGCCCAGCATAAACACAGGCCATTGCTCGCGACTCGTCACCACAACAAACTGGAGGTTAGACCAACGCTCCTGGAGACAGAACTCCAGGTCTTGGTTGCTAGGCACAAAAAGGGGACTCTTCCCCACAGACCTGTGAACAGTGTGGGTCTTACCAGAATTTTGGTTGTTTCTCCACCTTTCCTTTTTTGTTTTTTTAACGAAAGCTTTGAAAGTGGTGACAGCAAAAGTTTCCCTTTGGGCCAGACCTCTAGATCTGCCTTGCACAGATATACATTAGGTGGGCTGGTCTCACGTAGTCTCCACCGTCATTACAAATTACAAGCCTAACGACTACAGAACATCAGCGAAGACGACAGAAAAGCTTCCACACCCACCCCACTGTCGTCCGCTTCCTGGTCCCCAACAGCAAAAATAACCCAAAATCATGGTGATAAGCGGAGCTGTGAAATACACACGCAAAAGCCACACACTGGGAACCTGCCACGACAGCCGGGGAAAAACCGGCCGAGTGAGAAGACGCAAGGCGGTCCCCTGTCACTTAAGGACAACACGCCCAGGCGAGAAGTGGCAGGAGGCAGGGGGAGTTGTCCCGAAAAACAGCCCAGAGCCTGCCCACCTTCCTGGGAACGCAATCCCCTCAGCGGCCGCGAGCCGCCGGGCCGCAGGACGCGGCGCCCGGTCCCGGGCAGGGGCCCTCTGAGGAAGGCGCCCCCCGCAGGCTGGGCGCCCCAAGAGAGCCGGCGGCCGGCCCCGCCTCGGGGAGCTGAGGGGAAGTCCCTCCCCGCCGAGGCCCCCTCCTGCCGGTCCCCACTCACCGCCGGTGTGTCTGGTTCTCAGCCGCGAGCTGGGGCTGCCGTGAGGAGGCGGCGGAGGAGACGAGATCTGGGGCCCCGCCGCCGGGTCATCATACCCCCCGCGCGAGCCGGCCCGGGCCCCGGCCCCCGCCCCCCGGAGCCGTCCCCGCGCCCGTCCCGCAGGGGGAGCCTCCTCAGCCTCCCGCCCGCTCCACCACCCAGCCCCTTCCCGCCGCCGCCGCCGCCGCCTCAGCCCCGCGCGCTCCCGCCTCGGCTTCCTGCTGCCGTCCGGGGCTACCGCCGGGCCCCTTGCTCCGCAGCCGCCGTTGTCGCCAGACCCGACGAGCGGAACGCCGAGCGGCCGCCCCTCAACCCGGACGGCCCCGCCTCGCCGGAACTATTCACCCGCCCCGCGCCATGACACCTACTGAGGCGGAAGTGCAGATGAATGGACTCTCTAGGACGACCGCATAGTACTGATCGCAGTGGGAGTGGGTGGGCCTCGAGTGGGTGGGCCTCCGTGGGGAGCCAGCGTGGATCGAGTGCGGGGGCTGGGCTTCCCGCCCCCTCCGCACCGTAGACTCCGCGGTGATTTAAAGGTGCCTGGCAGTGGTAGGGGATCCAACTGTAAAATGTCATCCCAGCTAGTGTGACATCACCACAGTCTAGTGTGACACCCCCAGAGCCTGGGCAGTGTACAGGAAGACAGTGCCTAGCAGAGGAGCTCCACTGCCCGTGAGGGATTACCTCAGGTTAGGTTTTAATGTTTCGTTGCCGTCTAGAGACGTTCTAGCAATGTGACATCTGTGTACCCTATCTGGAAGTCTCCCTGTACGTCAAGAGCTCCTTAGGGGAGTCTCCCATTGCCGCCTTGGGAACCTGTGTTTACATTAGGAAGAGAGAGAATAGCTGTAATCTGAACTCAAACGCTCAAAACATGCAGTGAGCGAATGCTAGCATAATTTTTTTGCCTCTACCAGAAGGAAGTAAGGCTGGGTATTTAGAAAACAGAACGCGTTGGCACAACATTCTGAGAAAAAGGACACTGAAAATTAGGTTATCCTAATGGAAAAGCAGTTGCGATCTCCCAAAATCAAGAGATTCTGTAGGACTTCCGATATATCTCCTGCTGTGTAAAATATTCAGATTCCTGAAGTGGGGGACATTTTTAAGGCAAATGTAATCTCTTCATTTTTTCCATCCCACAAGTGCTGGAGGCAGCAGTGATCTGAGCCCTAAAAAGTGACTGTCCGGCACCATTGGTATTTGCATATACTCTCTGAAGAGAAGGGCAGATGTGGCTAAGACAAAATTCTACTATCAAGTTTTGTTTCTCAGATCTCACTCATTAACATCTTTGATTTCCTTGGATCCCCATAACACACACACACACAAAATACTATAATTTTTGTAAAATGTGCTAAAGTACCTTTTAAGGAAAGTCATTTGACTTTCTCTCTGGCTTAACAACACGGGGAGCAGTTCCATTTTATCTGGAACAGGGAAGTTTATTTCCCTAGAGAAGTAGGGTTACCAAAAATGTTCGATCCCACAAGGCAGTTTTGTTTGCATATTTTCACAGAAACTTCCTTCTACTACTTAAAGAACTTAAAGTCCTCACGTTGGGCCAACCTGGGAAATATGAAGACAAAAAGAGTGGGTAAACGTGCCTGCTTGATGAGCCAGAAAAAAAGGCAGAAACCTGTGGTCTGGGTATAACAGATCCTGCTCAAAATGTAAGCTTCAAACACACTGTTTATCATGCCTTCGTTCAACCTAACTCTCTGACATGTTCCTAAACTCCTGCTGTCTCAAGGCATGTCCCTTTCCTCTTTTCAAATATCTCTCAGAATTCACCTCTCGGGAACCTTTGCTGATTGACTCTTATTTTATTTGAATTCTACATCATCATCTGATTACTTAAATTAACCTGTACCTTCTTTATTTATACTTGTTAACCTCTATTTTCATTGCTTTTAGGTCCTCAGTCTTTCTCACTATACGGGGAGCTTCTTAAAGTCTGTATTTTCTCCTCTTTAGTATCATTCACTCATTCATCCAGCAAACTGCCTGCTCTGTGCTATACACTCTTCTAGACACTGGGTCAGGTATGCATAAGACAGGTGAATAAGGCATGGTCTTTTCCCTCAGGGACCTTACAGTCTATTGAGGCAAAAACGTGTGCAGACATATATAAGATAAGTGAGAGAGTCGGAGAAGAACATCAGAAGTGATATTTGAGCATAGTAAGGTCAAAGAAGTTTCAAAGTTTCATCATTTGTCCATTCAGTAACTATTTACAGAGCATCTTCTGTGTGCCAGGCACTATATAAGAAATTAAGGGGCTGGGTGTTGTGGCTCATGCCTGTAATCCCAGCACTTTGGGAGGCCGAGGCGGGTAGATCACCTGAGGTCAGGAGTTTGAGACCAGCCTGGCCAACATGGTGAAACCCCATCTCTACTAAAAATGCAAACATTAGCCAGGTGTAGTGGTGCATGCCTGTAATCCCAGCTACCCGGGAGGCTACGGTAGGACAATCACTGGAACCCAGGAGATGGAGGCTGCTGTGAGCCGAAATCGCACCATTGCACTCCAGCCTGGGCGACAGAGTGAGACTCCGTCTCAAAAAAAAAAAAAAGAAAAAGAAAAAAGAAATTAAGGAGACACAGAAGAAAAGGCATGGTCTGTTCCCTGAAGGAGCTTACAGTTAAGCAGAGAAGTGGCAGGATATAGAAGTAATAAGGTAAATTGAGTCAGATTTTGAAAGGCAATGTAGAGCTGTTAGAAGTTTATTCACACAGGTGGCCAGGCACAGTGGCTCATGCCTGTAATCCCAGCACTTTGGGAAGCCAAGGTGGCAGATCACTGGAGGTCAGGAGTTCGAGACCAGCCTGGCCAACATGGTGAAACCCCGTCTCTACTACAAATACAAAAATTAGCCGGATGTGGTGGCATATGCTTGTAATCCCAGCTACTCAGAAGGCTGAGGCAGGAGAATCTCTTGAACCCGGGAGGCAAAGGTTGCAGTGAGCCGAGATCGTGCCATTGCACTTTAGCCTGAGCAAACACAGCGAGACTCTGTCTCAAAAAAAAAGTTTATTCAAATGGGTAATGTGAGAGAGAACTAGTGATGGTGAAGGAAGATAGCTGGCTGGAGTGGGTAAAGATTGGAGAAAGGGATCCTAATCAGAAAACTATGATGAGCGTTTGATTAAACAGGAAAGAAGGCGAGAAAGGGGCAGATATGTGAAATATATCCTCCTAAATAAAGACAGAGCAGCTGGAGAGGGAGATGGAGCAGTTAGCAATTGGAAACATTCAAGTCTCATTCAGGGTCTGACATCCTTCTAGGACCTAGAGCCTAGATTCAGTGTTGCAGGCAAGAAGTCACTTGCCCAAGAGCGGCAGTGCTTAAGACCAAATAGGAGAAGCTGACGAGAAGGCTGTGTCTTGAGACAAACTGAACCATGAAGCTAGGCAAACTCTTCAAACAAATTATGCATCCTAGGGGCTAGGAAAAAAAGAGAATTTAAATAGAAATCAACAGGTTGTGAAACTGGGAAAACCAGATTAGAGTGAAGGTCTGCAGTAAAGGATAAAAAGCAGAAAAGTCCCTTGAGTCAACAGGAGGAGAACTTCAATGATTTTTTTTCAAATCCAGACCCCAGGATACTTTTTATTTGGAAATAATGTTAAACATACAGATATGTTGCAAGAGTGACAAAAAGAGGACCCATATACCTGTTACCCAGATTATTAACATCTTGCCCCTTTTGCTTTATCATTTGCAGTTATAGATAGAGTTTTATTACACACATACATGCTTTTTTTTTTTTTTTTTTTTTGACAGTCTCACTCTGTCACCCAGGCTGGAGTGCAGTGGCGCGATCTCGGCTCACTGCAACCTCCGTCTCCTGGGTTTAAGTGATTCTCCTGTCTCAGCCTCCTGAGTAGCTGGGATTACAGGTGCCCACCGCCACACCCGGCTAATTTTTTTGTATTTTAGTAGAGACGGGGTTTCGCCGTGTTGCCCAGGCTGGTCTCAAACTCGTGAGCTCAGGCAATCCACCCACCTTGGCCTCCCAAAATGCTAGGATTATAGGTGTGAGCCACCACACCCAGCCCACATACATTTTTTTTTTTTCTGAGCAGTTGAAAGTAAATTGCATGCGTCATGCTCGTTTACCACATAATACTTGAATATCCTAATAAGTACATTATCTTATATAAACAAAATACATACAATTATCGACTCCAGGAAATTTAACATTGCTGTAACACTTTACCATCCATGTTCCAAATGTTGTCAGTTGATCCAATAACATCTTTTTTTAGCATTTTTTTCTTTTCCAGCACAAGATTCAGTTTAGGATCATATATTACATTTAATTGTCATGTCTCTTTAGTGTTCTTTAATCTGGCACAGTTCCTCAGCTTTTCTTTGTCTTTGATATTTTTGAAGAATACAGGCCTTTTTCTGGTAAAAGGGTAATAAAATGTTCTTCACGTTAGCCAGGATGGTCTCGAATCCCTGACCCTCGTGATCCACCCGCCTCGGCCTCCCAAAGTGCTGGGATTACAGGCGTGAGGACCACCGCGCCCCCAGCTGTG